CATCCTTTGGCCCTGTGATGTGGCACGCAGAGACTGTTCATCTGCAGCTGTCTGTATCACAGAGTATTATTCTTACATTTCATAGTGGTTATCCATTTGCAGCCACCTCCTGAGGTAGATAATGCATGTACCAGGGATGGAGTATTTTTTAAGTGTTTACTTCTACCCACTCCTTTTGGAGCAGGGATTTAAGGCATTAGGGCCAGATGGGATGTCCTGAGGGAGTCCATCATTGTCTTGTTATTTTGTTTTCTGCCATTGTCTGAATTGTTGTAAAGCAGTCGATCATCATTACTGATTCTAGGTCAACTTCATCCCGCATCCTGTGCTGGGCCACGTCAATTGGGTGTCTAGAGCAACGGCCCCCAAGCAGCATTAGCTTTGTGGTAATTATAGGTTACCAATATACCAGGCATGTCATTTAATCTGAGCGGTTTGGTTAAGGTGTTTAAAATTTAGACCTGGGGTCTCTTTAGCTACCAGGGAAATATGTGCATTACACAAAGTGGATGAATGGAAACAGATGGGAGACTCTCTCCAAATTCTTCAGCTTCACCTTATGGGTCTGCAATCTGCACTCTGGAGCCACAAGTGGCTCTTTTGGCCCTTTACAATGGCTCTTAATAGTGGCTAAAACATTAAAGAACCCACTAATGGTTTGGAATTCAGTATACTGACAAATACCATTCTTAGACACTTCAGACAACAGAAAAACAATACCAGAAATGTTTTATTTTTATTTAAAAAAAAATGTTTTTGTCATTAGTTCATAATCTGTGTTTATATTGTTTTTATATAAAATAGTATCGTAAAGAGGAAATGATGAAGACATTTTTTCTTCATCATTTTAACCCCGTAAATACTAAACCATGGAATAATAAACAAAACATGACCTTTTTGAAGCTACTGTTTTTATTTAACATTCTAACAAATAAAAACAGAAGAAATTTTAAATTATTTAAGTTAAAAAAATATTTTTTGTCATTTCTCTGAAATTTGTTATGGATTTTCTGTTCACCGCATGCGTGTGATTTTATAAATCATTTTTTTTCCAAGAACAAAAATAACGCACAGATGATGTAAAGGTCTCATAAACTCAAATATAAAACATTTGGTGCTAAATGGTCGAAAACTAAAAATGCAAATAAACAATAAATGGCAATTTCCTATAGCAGATGTTTAATGAAGATAATAAGTTGTGTCTCATCTAAAGATCATGTATTACACTCACCGGCCACTTTATTAGGTACCCCATGCTAGTAACGGGTTGGACCCCCTTTTG